ACAGTGCTGAAGACCATCGATTCCATTTGTCACGGGTAGTACCTTGCCGATTAGACAAGGTATAAAGTATGCAGCATGTGTTTTTCATAGCTTCTGATGCATATAATTCTGCCATTCTCAGGTTTGATGTTACACTGAGGCGCACATTGCTGCAATGCAGAGGCGATTGGCCAAGCTATTGATGCAGGTGTTGTGTGGCCTCGCCTAGGAATACGAAGCGATCCATCGGCTGAAAAAGCAACGTGTAACATCGTATTATTATTTATTGATAGGTTCTAAGGAACCATTCAAGCTGACGAGGTATTCTGAGGTATAAAAACCGTCTCGTTTCCGGTTCGTGAAACTGTCACTTTAGGTCCAATTGAAGTTCATCGAAATCGTTTTGCTGATTGCAAATTGCAAGAATCCACATCCAAGTGATACATCTATTGGAAAGCCAACTGCCGTACTTGAAAATGGTCTTTTTCAAAGGTCTGTTGCTGTTGATCCCCGTCGTCCCTCAGCTGGTAGTTGCGACGTCATGCGATTACGGATCCTGGTACATCGAAATCAACCTTGCAGCAGGCGCTCAAGGCAACCGACGCGGAGATCTCTATGCTGAGCATTCCAAGACTCCAGGCGTGATCAGCCACTCAGTATGGATCTATGACCCTCAGACAGAGTTGACTACCTATACCGCGGAAGATCCGACCTTAAACAACACGCTTATCTCGGTTCTTGGTCTGCAGAGTACGTCTATTATACTAAGAGGCGGCACGAGATGGCTTGAAGTTAATGGTCATCACAGATTTTGAGATAGAGCAGACCATCCTTGGGATCCCCTTGAAGGGATCTGGGCTTATCGACATGTACTTTAGCCCGGCCGCAAACGGCCGCGGCGGCAAGGGCAACACGACGATTATTTCGGAGTTAAACGATTGAATCAGTGTGGTGGTACCACAATCTCATATCGATCTCACGGAGCTTAGAATGTCTTTCAGGTCGGCTCGCGATAAGTCGTGACACGGGTATGCGTGTCATATCCCGAATTTGTCTTTTTGGGCAGCATAATGTCCTTTAGGCTACATTAATTGTACATATGAAACAAGAACATCCTCCTTGCAAATTCCGCAAGGTTTCAACTACACTCAAGGAACAGACAGCTTAAATTCAAAGATTACTAATCTTTTGTTGGCAACCTTTCTGCTGTACTCAGTCTTGACTCGCGCCCTACGATTGGTTTGGCGCGCCACAGAAAATTGTCTGGAGGCAGTTCGAAATTGAATGAATAGTAATCAGGCCCCCTCAACACCCTCGGCAGCGAGAGGAATGACGCTTCCCCCATAAAGTCCCAACTCACGCGTGCTGTTCGTACAGCATGTTATGTTGGAGAGTGGATCACAAAGGGTCCCTAAAAGAACGTCGATAGAGCATATGTGTCCCCGTCCACGATCTTGAACAGTGACAGCATCCTTTCTGTACTTGACTGGATCTCGACACCGAACACCACATTATTCCGACTTGACATTCTCGGGGGCACCGGGCATGCAATCTTCAACAATTATGGGCGATCAAAGAGCCAAAGTAGTTTCGAAGAGACGAGGCCGGAAATCGCCAATGTCTGCCGACGCTAACGGCGATGACATGCGGAAGGTCAGTATAGCCACCACCTGGTTTCTGCTCGTAAATCTCTGCATTTGCCGCTGCACCTCTCCATTATATTCCAAACGTACAGGACTTGACGACTGACCAGGTCAAGATCCGGAGAGAAAGGAACCGCGAGGCACAACAAGTATTTCGAAGACGGCGACAAGCTGCAGATGTAAAACAGAAGGAGCGAATCGAGAGGTTGGAGAACGTTGTAGAGAACATGACGCTCCTCTTCATTGACCTCTTCGACGAGGTCATCGGAAATAAGGGTGTACTGAAAAAGCAGGAGGACCTTCTTGCCCTCTTTCAAGACTCAGCGATGCAGTTGAAGACAATGGTGCAGCCCATCACTGATACCGACGACGACAACGACGATGGGAACCCAAAGTCTGGGACCACGCGGTCTACCGATATGAATGAAAGACCTATTTGTTCTACGTCGGCCTCGTTGAGTCAACACAGCACTTTGAGGGAGAACGCCGGCGCGCCCGACCGCTTGAGTCCTTCCAAAAACAATAGCGGCGGCGAAGTCGATGGTACCCCTGCAGAAGGCATGAGAGCGCAACCTAATGTAGAACATCTTGAGGCTCTGGACATGCCACATATATCGACTACGAGTTCGAATCCTCCTTCTCAAGCATTTTGCCTTCAACTGCTAGAAGCGACTCTATCTCAAGCATGCTTGATACTAGCCGGCTGTCTTCCCGTATCACCAGTCGATTTTCAGACCATTTTTGGCATTACATTGCAGTACCGTTCAAGAGAAGAACAGCTAAGTCAAGTGCGCTGCCTGCTGGGCTCGGATACAGCAAAGCGTCTGGCAGCAGGGATGTCTCCAAGGGAGTCTAGGAGGGGCTGGCGGGATCAACATAGCCTACAGCTGGGATTCGGGCTGGTCGCAGAATACGAGGCCGATGTGGTACATGGCAATGACCTCCCACCAGGGTTTCTTACAGCACTTCAAGTTCAGAAGCAATTGCAAAGCCTTGGCGCACGAAAGCGGGGGAGTAACATCCTCGAAGTCAGTATCACTTCGGCGGTGGAGAGTCCTGATATTACTGCACATGTTTTCGGGTCTACGCTCTACGAACGCACCCCTGAAACCACCGATTTTGGCATCGCCAAAGCCTTGACGTTTCAGCTGAATGTGTCATTACTCATCGCAAATCTTACAAGTTCGGCAAAGTGCTTTTTGACTGGGCCGGCTTACTCTCAGCTGGGCTTTTTCAAGGCCGTGGAAGCGTCAATGATATCATTCACTGACGCTCCAGCTGGCTGAGCGAGAAACCAGAAATGCGGGATTTTCCTTTCGATGCAGGAAGTTAGAGGTAAAAGCCTAGAGACATATTTCAAATGACCCACAGATTCGACTAATAGGGTACATTGCGGCATCTTGGCCGCCTGCACCGTGAGTCTGCAAAGGAATCTTGATCAGTGCCAACCTGACATTTCCAGATACCAATGTCCTTCGTGTGCGCCTTCTTGGCGATCCCGAGTCGCGATTTCCCTGATGATGGACGTGACAACGTGGCATGGACCTGGCGCCAGGTAGGTATTTGTAGCATCTGGTAGGACTCCAACAATCATTCTTTTCTCTCTCGAGGGCAAGCTCAAGTACTCACTGACTTCTCGTAATTCAGTTGTGACTGAAATAATCACTGAGATCCCCTTGGCAGAGTATTGGTTGTTTCAGTCTGCTAAGAAGAAGAGGAATGCGCCGAAGGAGAATGTGAAAGACCAAGGGAATCATAGTAAGGAACCGCCGACAGCATCTCCAACCTATCCGATGGGTTGGTCCCACAGGAGCTAATGAGGGGATTTCCACGGCCAACGAGGAGTGATAGAGAGATGGTCTAGGAGCAAAGATAAGTGCAAGAGCTTCTGGAATGGGTGAACACACGTTCCTTTCCAGCATTTGGTAGAAAGTCGCAGGCTTGAAAACCAAACATACTTAATGAATAAGCAAACTTGATTAAACTCCACACTCAGAGGTTTGTCGTTGTCATATTGTTTTACGTCCATCAGTCTTGTTTGTTTGTTTGTTTGTTTGTCCCATTTTACGCCGTGATGTCCTCAAGTGAGGCGAAAGGCGACTACACCGCGCTAAAATTACATAACCGTATACAGTGCCCCGTAGAATTCATATAATACCCTCCTGCAAGATAGTATGATATATAATCCAAGATTTGACCCTTCTGCCTATGCGTAGCCCCCCGTGACATCTTGTGACCTGTCAGGGGCAAAAGCAATGCGTTCGCATCCTTACCTAGTAATAGATACGTCCCTAGATATTTCAACTCACGATACCTAGCATTCATATATACAAATGCACAATCTTATGTCAATCCTCTGTGCTCCATCTGACTACTACTCATCCATCTTCCGTCGACATTAATGGGCGGTCACTTCCCCCGAAGGATTGCTCTCCCACCGGCGTTGAGCAGGGGCTGTCGGTAGCCCGTCCCTGTCCGTCTCCAGTGATCCAGACCGGGACCCCACATCATTTTCCTCCGACTGCTGGTTGAAATTCAGAGGTGGAGGGACTTGAAAACACCCCCCCTTTTCGAAGTGGCGGCGTTGTATGCCCAACAATCTTGATTTGTTTTGCAGCGTCGATGTCATCAGGAATGTGTAGCACCTCAAAGTCCTTAACTAAGCGCCGATACGTCGTACCCAAATGATAAGAATATAAGAAAGATCAAGTTCCAGCATCCGAAATCTAACTTTTGTGTCTTTTCAGCTATGGCCTTGTTTTGTCGATCGGTTCCCTGAGGCCTACAAGCAAATGACTGAGCGAACAAGCCCTTTTCTTATAAGAATGAGACACGCAATAAGTCTGGCCGTCCACGAAGTTATCGTTACATGTCTAGGCCCGCGAGGCCGTTCAGCGGGCCGCTCTAGAAATTGCGTGCCTATGATAGCCCCGACCCTATGTGACTGCCACCACCACAATTCAAGTCATTTCGTCACAGATCTGCGTTATAAAGAGCGAAAAGATGTTTCAACTCCGTGATTTTCCGAAGGACCCAATTGCATCGCGAGCCCTGTTATATGACTAGAATAGGATCTTAGGAAAGGCCACAAAGATTCGATTGGCAGCCAGTTTCAGATTCCCAGCTACCATTAACTCCAAGACAGCGTTATAAATAACAAATTCTTGCTCTCAAAAGAAATAAGACTGTACACTTAGATGGAAGATGTGATGCTCTCGCCTTAAGTGTTGCCGATTGGGGAACGCCCATTAGTGTTGACCATGGACGCGATCAAGTAGTCCTTGATAGCGAGTCACGATCCCTCGTCTGTTAAGCTTCCCAACCGCTGTTGTCAAGCCCTGGGGTAAATATTAGTCTCGAACTACTTGACATCATGACTCAGTTCTGAATGATGGCACTAACATTTTGAGGAGTCCATTCTGCATCGTCAACAAGCACAACAGCCTCTACCACCTCAATCGAGGCAAGTCCGGCCTCCTGAGCAGTCTGTTGCAATTGCAGAAGGGCGCCATGCACGACAAACGGATGTCGTATAAGCGCTGATGTTTCGCAGGGGGTATCTAAACCATGTCTCTTAGCTAGGTCCTTCAAAGCTGGCGGTGAAGGAACGACTATAGCCGTTGGCTTTGCGCGGTGAGGCGATGCGTGGATGCAGATGTTAGCCACTAGCTTTGCAGAGCGGTAGATAGACTCTAGCTGGAATGAGTGAGTTGTGGTCAGTGTACACACCTTCCACGGGCAAATTAACGATGCATCATGCAGATCGGCTTCATACCTTTTCAAGCGCGATGTACTCTCCGTTGAGTGTCTTGACGAGGTTCTTCTTCCGGTCAATGATTCTGAAATGGAAGTCGTCGCCGCTGCATGTGGGTTCCCACTGCCCAATATCGCCAGTGCGGATCCAATCGCCAGGCGCGACTGCACTCTTGGACTCATCGTCGTTGTCATAGTACCCTTCCATAACACTATCGCCCCGTATCCAGATCTCCCCCTGTGATGGAGTGTTACTGGTGAGGTAGCCTGCATCAGGGCAGTCAACCAGTTTCATTTCTATACTGGCCGGGATGCTCATAGATCCTGGTCGCCATTGGCCGGGATCCATCAGACCACCCATGCTGGAGGTTTTCAAGACATCAGCTTCGGTTCAGCTTTAGACTCAGACTATCGAGTCCTTGAACTTACGCCATTGTCTCGGTTAAGCCATATCCGTTAACCAAAGGAGCCATCGCCATGGTCAAGAAGTTCTGTGTGCTTTCCGCTACGGGCCCGCCGCCTGACATGGCGAACCGCAGCCGGGGCCCAACCACCTCACTGGCGGCGGACGATAATACCCCATTGAAGCCGCATGTCCCGGCCAATCCGGCTGCGGCCCACACTTCTCTTGCTTTGAGCCTCGACCAGAAAGCAAGTCTGTCAATAAAGCTTGAATTTTCCACGTTGGACAAAATCGCCTTTTTAATCCTTTCCCAGATAGCAGGAACACCGATCATAAAGGTGGGTTGGAAGGCATGCATGTCTCCCACTTCGAGAGTGCCGGATGGAGTGCTACGGTCGAAGAGCGTACGGGCACCACCGTAGCCCATTTTCACACCCCAGTAGAGACAGCTATTTTCGAAGGCGAATTCAAGAACATGAGCTAATGGTAAGTATGCGAGGAAAGAATCGGAAGACGAGAGATAGTCGCCGATCACAGAGTCAAGACCTGTGACTGTTGGCTGATTATTTAAGCGTTCATGGTATTCTAAGGGGAAGAAGACCAAATATCATGGCGAATCAGGGGGTGACTTACCTGCCGCTACAACGGCCTTGTGTTTCACCGGAACTCCTTTCGGTATTCCTGTAGACCCAGAAGTATAGTAGATGGCGCAAAGATCCTCCCTGTCAGGTGGAACAGGCTCACTCATCTTGCTCCGGCCAACCTGGCATAGCTGGCTGAAGCTGAGTATTTGAAGCCCTGGTTGTGTCTTCTTGAGTTCGAACAAGCCTTTGATCCACTCAGCACCTGCATCAAATGTACCACTTGGCTGGTCGTTATAGACTATGGCCTCAACTCGTGGAAGAGATCTGTTTGTCATTGCAGAAGTCACCTTTTGACAGAGATGGTGATCCACGAAGATGGCTTTGGCGCCTGTGGACTCCAGAGAATGCTCGAGGCCAGCAAGGCCGAGAGCTTCGTAGGCTGTCACGAAAACCATGGATTGTGAAGATGCACCATGAGCGATTGATAACCATTGTGGGCTTCATGGTGTTCGTCAATTTTGGTAATTCCACAAGAGTCCGCAGGGGAAACTTGCCTTGTTGCTGCATAGACGAGAATCTTATCAGTTTTCTGGAGACCGACCGCCCGTAAGCCAGATCCTACATCATGAACCACAGTACAATGATCTTGGTATGATATGTAAGTGTACTATTGATGCACTTTTAGCCGCCTTGTCATATGTGATTACGGCAGGGCACGCCACCAACCAGAGAATCTCCTGGCAATCTGTTTCTTGCATTTAAGTTTTCGGCTTCACTTGCTCGTGCACACAAAGCAGGCTTGTCTCCATATGTCTCTGCCGCCCAATGCACGATGTCATAGACTGTCTGTATCTCGTTATTGGGCTGCGACAATAACCCGGGTCTACCAGCAAGCTTGGTGTTTCTTTGGGGCCGAGTCTCGGCCGGGATAGGTGGGGCACTCGGTACCGCAGTGGAGAACGGGGCGGAGCCGGAGGCCCGGGCGCTGGATTCCGGGGACACCGTCATTGTGCCGTATCGAGCTTACTTGTGGGCGAAGTAAGACGATGCCCATGACTAGCAAAGCGAATTGTTCAATTTAGGCTGTTTTAACTGCTGCATGGTCTGGTACAGATGCTGTGTACCTAAGTCCTCGGGTGGTTTTAACCTGTCGAGCGTAGGCGCTGCGGCTCATTTTTTAGTCCCCGAATGCCGCCGCATTGCACATAAGCTCGCTCCTATTCTAGGCAAAATGGCCCGCTACCACAAACAAGTCGACTGGCTACTCTTCCTGGAGGAAAACCCCGTGAAAACACAATTTCATTTACTGACTGGGAAGTATCGTTGAAGAAATCTCAAAGTACCCGCGTGCAAGCTCTTGTGCCTGTCTCGCCCGAGCTTTTAGCATAGCCCGGGCCCTCAAGATAGCGACTCGCCCAAGACCAGTTGACCTGAGTCCGTCACCCCATCCTTTACAGAGCCTGCCATGTTCATCGATCGACCATGCATCGCTAGATACCCCAGTAGGCCCAAAGAGAAGACCTTCGGGGTCGTATTTAGACTTGATGGCTTGCAGCCGCGGGTAGTTTGCCCCATAGAAGTCCTCTTTCCAAGTTTTGAGCTGGAAATCGCCCTCGTTCATATAAGTCCCGGAACCAAGCGTAAGTTCCCTCAGTCTTGGCACAACGACGTCGGTGATTTCATCGGCACGACGTTGGCCGTCCGCTCTAAGCGCACTAAAGTTCCACGTGGACTGTGCGAGCACAGTGATCAGGGTGTCTCGCCAGGCCGGGAGGACGGCATTGTCCGCAACGGGTTTCCGTCCAGGCGCCTGCTTTACATCCAGGGCAACAAAACCCAGAAAAGCATTCGTGTCTTCAAGGATGCTGCGAAAGGCCCCGACAAGAGCGGTGCTGTTTTCCTCGACATTGGAGCGCGGGATCATCCTTCCGCCAAAGAGGTGGTGAATCGTGTAAGGGCCTCGGGGCAAAGGTCCACCGTGCTTGCTGTAATGTTCCAAAAACGTGGGTTCCGATGTCACTTCGAGCGTGTACTGTACGTCTAGCTCATCGAGTCGGTCGACTAACGGGCTTATCAATCCGGAGACCTGTTGCTTGGTCCACCCAGGGAGGGTAATAGGTGCGATGAAGAAGGCGTCCTTGGTGACGGCGTATCCAGCTGTCCCACCGGCGGTAGTGAGGCTAGGGAGGAGGTCTTGCCAGCTTTTGAAAAAATTCCAGAAGTCATCTTTCGCCACACCGGCGGTAGAGAATGCTAGAGTCGCACCTCCGATGTAGCCGTCGGGGTATGCTCTCACGGTTAGCGAGATCACGACTGCGTAGGTGCCAGGTCCGCCTCCGCTCAAGGCCCAGTACAGATCTGAGTGTTGCAGAGGTGTCGCCACCAGATGTTCTCCGGAAGGCGTGATGACTTCCCACTCAAGGACCTGGTCGGCTCCGAGCCCATACTGTGAGCTCAACGGACCGTGGCCTCCGCCTTGGGTATAACCGCCGGCGACGCCTACTGTCGGGCAAAAGCCTCCAACCACGCGAAGGCCTTTGTTGGCGGCAGCCGTGTAGGCTTCCAGCCCACGTACGCCGGCGCCCATTCGGATAGCGGGACCGGTGTATGTTTCGCTTGCAAAATCCAGCACTTCAATCGAACGGAGGCTACTTGTCCATAGGGCAAGGCCCCCTTTGGCGGCGGACTTTCCCATGTAACTTGCAAACGTATGTCAGTGATTGTCTCGATACCTTATGCCAAAAGAACTTGGCTTTAGATGTGGCTTGTTACGCACTCATGTCCCGTGTTCTTGATGGCCAGCCGTAGGGAGTGCCTGCGTGCGAATGAAAGACCTTGCACGACGTCTTCTGCATCTGTTACGTTGATAGCGTAGGAAACACTATGTCCCAGCGTACAAGGGGTATCAGCAGGAGTGAATGGATCGCAGCTGGAGTTCTGCCAATAGGGGCTCTGGATGCCGCCTGGCCAAGATTCGCTGCAATTACCTGTCAGAATGTATGACCCGAGCAAGGAATCAATGGGGTGTCAAAGCTCACTGAATCTCTGGCCAAACCCAGTCCTTGCGAATAGCGGCGCACTCGGCCTCGTCATAGTTCGGGTCGTGGCAGACAGACGCTGGAGGAACTGGAGCAATGAGACGACCGCCAACAGAGGCGTTAAGATCCTGCCATTGCAACTTGGATGGCCAACAGCTATCGCCGTCAGTACATGTGCAGAACGGGCGGGCCCAGCTGGCAGAATTTCTTGTCAGAAACAAGGCGGCTGTAATTGCCAGCCCCACGATTGAGGCTGGCCCGGAAACTTGGGATCGAAATCTCATTGCTAAAATAAATGAGCACTGAAAGCCAACTATGCGGTTTTCTGCTCCAGAATTTCTTTACTTCACTTGAAATAGAGCAGTATTATCGCGGAATAGAACCAGGACAAGAAGCGCCCAACAAAATTCCGCAGTCGCTAGGATTTGGCCGAGCTCGTTATTCCCCGGTGTTACTGATGGAAACAACACCATGGAAGATTACTTCGACTTACAAAAGAAAAAAAAGCCCCGACCTGCGTAGATGAAATCCGTGTGGCCCGATGCTGACGCCCATGCTGGCTACCTGACCAGCAACAAAAAAGGACTTCCCACTGAAAATCGGCCAGAGCGAACTCAACCAAGACGTGAATTTTGGAAGGAGATTACCTCGAAATAACCAGGCTTTGAGTTTGGTCTCGTCAAAATTTGTTTGGTCGTCACTCTCCTTTCCTGCCCTCCCACCGGTCCTATCAACAGCCGACATTTGCCCCATCGTAGCCGCACAATCATTTTCAAGCACCTCAGAGACCAACAAATATGATGGATTCCATATCTACGCCCGAGACTCGCTCATCTGCCGTTTTCTATGGCATTACAGGGCTGGTATGTTCCACCGTGTATCTGCTCTCTCTGGGTATCTATCGTCTGTACTTTAGCCCGCTTGCCAAGTTTCCAGGGCCAAAGCTTGCTGCTTTAACGCAGTGGTACGAGGCCTACTATGAGCTCTTCAGCGGCGATGGCGGCCAGTTTATCTGGCATTATGCTAAGTTGCATGAGGAATATGGTGAGTAGACTTTGACTCGGCAACTGACTGTTTCGAGATCTCAACGTGTTGCTAACTGGTTTTCAAAGGCCCAATCATCCGAATTAACCCATGGGAGCTGCACATCCAAGACTCTAGCTTCTATGACGTGCTTTACTCGTCTTCTAGGCACTCCAGCAAGCTGACCACCCTCGCTCACCGTTTCAACAGCCCAGAGTCGGCTTTCTCGACCGTTAACCACTCCAGACATCGCCAGCGGCGAGCGGCTTTGAACCCCTTTTTCTCCCATCGCAGGATCGCTGAGCACCAGCCCAACATCCAGCGAATGATGCATCGCCTCACAGATCGCCTCAGGCGGGAATACCTGGGCAAAGAGAAAGTGTTACGTATCGATCAAATGTGGGGATGCTGGACGTCAGATATCATCAACGACTACGCTTTCGACAAGCCGCATAATTTTCTTGACGCTCCGGACTTCCACGCGAGCTACACAGATGCCATGGTTGATCTTCTGGAGCCTGTTCACTATATCACGCAGTTTCCCCTCGTGACAAATCTTTTCAAGATGCTCCCGCTGTCGTGGGTTAAGGCAATGTCTCCTCAAATGGGAACTGTGCTAGACTTCAACAACGTTAGTAGTAGCCCAGGCCAGAGATACCGAACGAGCTGACTTTCGGATCATATATGACGTTTTGCTGATGTGTTACACGCTCGACTAGGAAATGACAAACCAGATCCGCATCCTCTTAAACAAGCCGGCAGAGGAAAAGGGGCAATCCAAGACCATTTTTGGCGTCATCCTCGAGTCAGACCTCCCAGCCTCAGAGAAGACGGTTGGCCGTCTCCAGCAAGAGGCAATCAGCGTGACCGGCGCTGGTATCGAGACGACGATGCGGGCCCTCAGTCTGTGCACATTCCATGTCCTGGCGAACCCCCCAGTGCTAGAAAAGCTCCAGGCCGAGCTCAAAGAAGCTATTGTGGATCCCAGAAACCCTCCCGACTGGGATGCGCTCTCTCAATTACCATATCTCTCAGCCTGTATCAACGAAGGTGAGTGCAGTTTCTCGACATAGCTGATTACAGGTGAAATCTGCTGACCAAAATCATCCTGAAGCCCTTCGATTCGCATATGGAACGTCTCAGCGACTCCCTCGCACGCTCGAGGACGAGCCTCTCCGTTACGGCGAGTGGCTCATCCCCGTCGGCGCCACAGTGAGCATGGACAACTACGCCGTGTCCCACGACGAGGCTATTTTCCCAGACAACATGACCTTCCGGCCAGAGCGCTGGCTGGGCGACCCAAAGGCTCCTGATGGGAAGAAACTCTCGCGCTACATGGTCGCGTTTGGTCGCGGAACACGCTCCTGCGTGGGCATGCAGCTTGCGTGGGCAGAGCTGTACACGGGCATTGCGACGCTGTTCCGTAGGTTCAAGATGGAACTCCACGAGACTGAGCGGGATGCGATGGATCTGCACATGGACCGATTCGTGCCGCGTCCTAAGCCGCATACTCTTGGAGTGCGGGCTCTGGTTAAAGACGATCTGTATCAGTGACTGATTGCCGGTGGAAAAGACTGAAGATGTTGGAAATGTTTTGGGCGAAATGCTGTAAATCTGTCGTTACCGAGCTCTATAACTATGTTCTTCTCACAGAAACTTACCAGCTTCAGTGTATCAATTCTGTGTAGACTCTTCGTCACGCAGAAATGGTGTCTTAATGATCTAGGACATGGATCGGAATTGCTTGGACGCTTAACACGGACAGCATCTAAACAAGGTGCATTGCGACTTAAGATTCTAGATAAGCAAGTGAATGTGTAGCGCTAGGCAATCTGAAGGCCACTAGACCTTGATTTTTACCTCCGTTTTGTCTGTTCAAAACATTTCGGAACGTTCTAAGGGCTAATGTTGTGAGGTGATATTCGTTGTGTTTCATTTGAGACATCACTACAATGTGTGAACATAATGTTGAAATGATAATCAAGCAAACCGTTATAATAACTAATTTGAGTTAAGACCCCAAAGAAACCCTGAAGAAGATGATACCAGAGAATAAAAAATGAAACACAGAGTCTAAGACGCAAGAAAGTCTTCATTCCTTCTTCTTCATCTTGGAAACAATCTTCTCACACAGCGCTGTTAGTGACGTGGCGCTCGTGATCTCCAGCGTTGTCAATTCAACTCCGAGATCCAGCCTGACCCAATTTCGCAGCTCTACGGCAGACAAAGAGTCCAAACCATAACTACTGAGTGGCTTGGCAGGTTCCATTGGTTCCGACAAGCGGAGGGTGGCCTGGAATTGGGTGTTAACGACGTCCACAGCGGCCTTCAATACCACCGAGGAGTCTGCACTGGATTGCAGTAACAGCATTAGCGCCTGCACCGCGCGCGATTTATCGTCCTTGCCATCCCCACCAGACGTGGCCTCGCCGGTGCCGAAAGCTAGGCTGACGAAGCGAGCGTCAACAAGAAGGTTCGAGGAGTCCGGCTGCGGCACGGCGATGGAGGTAATAAGTTGAGTGGAGTTGCCCGTCGAAGATGTTCTTTGCTGCTGCTGGATTGAAACGCGGACAATTTGGCGGAACAGGTTCTCATTAATGGGAGTCCAGGCGTCCCGATCCAGAGCCACGCGAAGGTCATTGTGCTCATGCATGTAGCCAACGTCGTCGATGGCACCCAAATCGACCGAAACAGCGGACAGCCCGAGACCTTGGCGGTATACGGCAAAGGCATCGAGGAAGGCATTAGCGGCTGCGTAGTTTGCCTGACCCTTTTGGCCAACAACACCAGAGACCGAGGAAAGCATAGTGAAGAAGGAGAGATCGAGGCCCTCCTCCTGAGCGACGTTATGAAGGTTCCAAGTTCCGGGGACTTTGCAGGCCACGGCGCCATGGTACTCCTGAGTCGTCATGGAGGTGAAGATTTTGTCTCTCAGGACCATGGCGCCCTGAATGACGCCACTGACGGGAACGCTGGAGGATTTGAAAGCTCTTCGAACGTCTTCCAAAACTGAAACATCGCCCCTGACCAGATCGACCTTGGCACCTTGGGCGTGGATGTTCTTCAACACAGCCTGTGACCGCTCATCATCGTAACCGCCACGTGCGAGGATGACGAGGTGCTTGGCGCCTTTTTGGGCCAAGTAGACGGCCAGAGATCCGCAAAGACCTTTCAAGCCACCGACGATGAGGATGGAAGTAGTCTGGGGCAGATCGAATCTGCGTATCGCGGGGCGGACCATCACAGTCGGCTTGTCAGCCTTTTCTTTGGCAGAGAGAACGATCTTGCCCATGTGCTTAGCCGCACGCATGTAACGGAAAGCACCAGCCACATCCTCGAAGGGAAAAGTAGTCATGGGAGCAATGGGCTTGATGGCGCGCTGGCTAATGAGGCTCATCATCTGGCGCATGAGCCTGGCAATGACGATGTCCGATACGTGCTCGTGGGACATATCAAAGCAGCGGTATGAAGCGTTGCGGCCAAACGGCTCCCTAAGATGGTGTCAGTTGTCGGCCTCACGTAAGGAGATAAAATGAATGAGACTCACATGGAGAGGTAATTGCGATCAAGCATATCCCTCTTCCCCAGCTCGACCATGGTGCCGCCATCAGCGATACAGCGCCACGACTCGTCCAAAATATCGCCGGTGAGAGAGTTGAGAATGACATCGACGCCGTGTCCTTTTGTGGCGGCCTTGAGCTGAGCAGCAAAGGCAGTGGTTCTTGAGTTGAAGATGTTCTCTCTGGGGATGCCAAAGCTGTCTACCAAGAAGTCCACCTTCTCATCAGTGCCGACGGTCGCGTAGATCTCTGCGCCAATGAATTTACAAATCTGGATCGAGGCGATTCCAAGACCACCGGATGCGGAATGGATAAGCACTTTGTGCCCGGCCTGTGTGTTGGCAAGATCGAAAATGCTGTAAAGCGCAGTGAGATACACACTGGCCAGAGTTGAGGCCTCCTCGAAAGACATCCAGTTGGGGATGTGGTGCGTTCGCTCAACAGAGGCGATGACCCTGTTTCCAAATGCTCCCTTCTTGAAGACGAGCACCCGGTCTCCTGGCTTGTATATGTTCGCAGCGTTTTTGCCAGCCCGACGGATCTCGCCCGCACCTTCGAGGCCGAGGAGGTGTTGGTTCTCCGGAACAATGCCCATTGTGACGGCGACATCCTTGAAGTTTAGCCCAGCGGCGAACAGTTCAACTTCCACGCTGCCGTCGGGGACAGGCAGCTCTGTAGCGGCGACCTCGGTGTACTGGAGA